CACACACACACACACACACACACACACACACACACACACACACACACCACATACAAGCTGAGAAATTCACTCAGTATAGAGCAGAAACAAGTTTGCAGTGACTTACATTTAGTGTATGTTTTATTTCTGCCATAACCAAGTGATTTCTGTCTCTGTTCCAAGTATAAGCTAATTTCTCACCTTGAAGAGAAGGTAAAGGGATTTGAGAACCACCTCTCTACACTCCAAACTATCAGTGACAATGTAGTGTTTCTTTGTAGAAAAAAAAATGGAAGTAGGTTTTCTGCATACTGTGGGAATGAGAAACAATGTGAAGGTGCAGAAAGGAAATTTGACATTTGTCAGGGGGTTGGAGAATAGAACAGTGTCATAAGGAAGAGGAAGGAAAGGAAAAGGACAACTGGTTTTAGAGATTTAAAAGCAAATAGAATTGAAGTGCTTGTCTTCCAAGGAATGACAAATTAGAGCTACAGAAGCTATCAGGTGAGGTAACATCAAAGAAAGGAGTAGTGGTGGTTGATGATTCTATTTGTTGACCTGATAGCAAGAATACTAGCTTCCTATAACATGTATCCAAAATACAACAGAGACCCTTCCAAAGTTGTCTAAAGCTTGGTTTCCACTGCTCTGTATATTATAATGGCTGTAAGAAGGAATCAAAAAAAGAATTTACAAAGATCACAAAGTTCTGTTCGAGAAACTGAAGACCATAAAAGAACAGTATGGTTTTCTTCACTGCTACCCACTGAAGGCAAGAAATGCATAAGAGAAAAACTGGACTGGGAAGTGAACAAGTCAAAAAGAACGTGATATCTGAGAAAGGGATTTGGATTTCTGATCAAAGTTTAAAGTTTAAAGGATTGGATTGGGATTTCTGATCAAAGTTTAAAGTTTGAAGGAATGACAGATTCCTTGTCATGGCTAGAGTACACCTAATGAAGGTTAGAAATAATGAATTTACCCCACTTCTGGTTAAGATGCCATTATCAAAGGTCCTAGAAGAACCCAGCTCTCTCATAAACATCCCAGCAAAAACTTTTAAAGGGCACCAGATGGAGTAATGATCAAAAAGACAAAAGAGGAATACCAATAAGCTCTACCATCTAGCCCAGGATTTCACAAGAAGACAGCCAAAAGTTTAATGGTGCTGGGAAAGGAATTACTCCAAATGAGGTGTAAGTAATCATGAAGGAGCATGAAGGCTAATGGGGTCTTGGTCCTGGCTTGTGAGAGCATGAATAGGTGACAGAACCAGCCCCCAAGGGACCACTGTGCAGGGAGACAATACCAGGAGTACACACACACATACACACACACACACACACACACACACACACACACACTTTATGACACTCAAAGTAGCCTGAAGCTAGGGCCTTTGGCTAAGCCACAGTAGAATATAGGCACAATGCAGCTCCTGGGCAGCTTAAGCATGTGAGGCCTGATACCAGTGTGATCTCAGACATCAGATTGAGGCCAGTGAGTCATAATAAGAGTCAGCCAGTTCCCAGGTGGGAATTGATTGTGCAAAGAAGAGATAGAAATGCACCTGAAGCTAACATCTTCATTGGGCTACCAGGAGATGGAGGCAGAAGCCATGGATTGAGGCTGAGGGTAAGGCCTAGTCAGAGTTACTGTATCTAGATCTTCAGCAGAACCAGATCCAGATAGCAAAGTAGTCACAACCAGAGTTTGCCTTTCTCATGCAAGAGTGTGTGAGAGGGTGGAGTCTGGCTCTGGTACATTTCCTAGCATCCAGAAAATGAGGCTATAGATATAAGTAAATAGAAGAAATACTCATTGTTTTTCCTCCCAAGGGAACAAAGTTATTTATTGTTACACAGCTTCATGTTGTTCAACAGTAGTGCACTTTACTGTACAGAGGAGCACATTTTTGATTTACCAGATAATAACAAAAGTCCAAGCCCAAGGCTTCTTGAAGAACAATGCAAGCATTTCCCCAATGATCATCCATGGTTCAGCTTAAAACAGTCCCCTTTTACTTCTGAAGGAATGTCACTAAAGACAATGCCAAATAATAGCAAGCATGTGGCAACATGACTTGGTAGTTCTTTCA